GTTCGATGCTTTTCCGTACGCCTATAGGGATCCGTGCGCTTCCTTAGCATTTGTCAATAGACGCGGCCGTCATCGCACGCGCCGAACTTTTCTGTGCGTGCGAACCAAGTCGAAATTGCTCTGGTAGGTGTATTTAAGCATGGGCCATCTGTATAAGCAACAACACTCAGGTCGTTCGACGCTTTTCCCTACGCCTATAAGGATCCTAGCGCTTCTTTAGCATTTGTCGGCAGACGCGGTCGTCATCACAGGCGCCAAACTTTTCTTTGCGCGTGATCCAAGACGGAATTGTTCTGGTAGGTGTATTTGAGCATGCGCCACCCGAATATGCAACGACATTCAGGTCGTTCGACTCTTTTCCCTACGCCTATAGGGATCTGAGGGCTTCCTTTGCATTTTTCAACAGACGCGGCCGTCATCGCAGGCGCCGAACTTTTCTATGCGCGCGAACCAAGCCGGAATTGCTCGAGTATGTGTATTTAAGCATGGGCCATCCGAATAAGCAACAACATTCAGGTCGTTTGATGCTTTTCCCTACGCTGTGCGCTTCCTTAGCATTTGTCGGCAGTCGTGGCCGTCATCGCAGACGCCGAACTTTTCTGTGCGCGCGAACCAAGCCGGAATTGCTCTGGTAGGTGTATTTAAGCATGGTCCATCCGAATAAGCAACAACACCCAGGTTGTTCAACTCTTTTCCCTACGCCTATAGGGATCCGAGCGCTTCTTTAGCATTTGTCGGCAGACGCGGCCGTCATCGCAGGCGCCGAACTTTTCTATGCGCGCGAATCAAGCCGGAATTGCTCTGGTAGGTGTATTGAGCATGAGCAACTCGAATATGCAACAACATTCAGGTCGTTCGATGCTTTTCCCTACGCCTATAGGGATCCGTGCGCTTCCTTAGCGTTTGTCGGTAGACGCGGCCATCATCGCACGCGCCGAACTTTTCTGTGCGTGCGAACCAACCCAAAATTGCTCTGGTAGGTGTATTTGAGCACGGGCCACCCGAACAAGCAACATCACTCAGGTCGTTCGACTCTTTTCCCTACGCCTATAGGGATCCGAGCGCTTCCTTAGCATTCGACGGCAGACGCGGCCGTCATCGCAGGCGCCGAACTTTTCTTTGCGCGCGATCTAAGACGGAATTGTTATGGTAGGTGTATTTGAGCATGCGCCACCCGAATATGCAACGACATTCAGGTCGTGCGACTATTTTCTCTACGCCTATAGGGATCAGAGGGCTTCCTCAGCATTTGTCGGCAGACGCGGCCGTCATCACAGGCGCCGTCGTCACGATGCTCGCTCGTCACGATGCTCGCTCGTCACGATGCTCGCTCGTCACGATGCTCGCTCGTCACGATGCTCGCTCGTCACGATGCTCGCTCGTCACGATGCTCGCTCGTCACGATGCTCGCTCGTCACGATGCCCGCTCGTCACGATGCCCCCTCGTCACGATGCTCGCTCGTCACGATGCTCCTCGTCACGATGCTCGCTCGTCACGATGCTCGCACGTCACGATGCTCTCTCGTCACGATGCTTGCTCGTCACAACGCACGCTCGATAACATATATAACAAATGCTAAAAACATGTTCCAATAGTAATAACATAAAACATATAACAGCTAGTCAAATACCTTTAGTACTTTCGTATGACAGATTACATAGTTTTATGAGTAATAACATCGTTAAAAATATATATGTTATCTTAGAAACATTCGATAGCAATATTAATTATCATGAACAACTTCAACACGTTCAACTGAGTTCATGTGATCAAATGTTCTTTTATAAATGAGAGTTTTAGATATAGATATGGAAAGAAACTTATAACAATCTACCAGATATATATCGAAGACTTACAACAAACCTGTCACGATGCTCACTCGTCACGATGCTCGCACGTCACGATGCTCGCTCGTCATGATGCTCGCTCTGGTCGGCGCGGGAACCAAGCCGGAATTGCTTTGCTTGGTGTATTTGAGCATGGGCCACCCGAATATGCAACAACATTCATGTCGTTCGACGCTTTTCCCTACGCCTGTAGGGATTCGAGCGCTTCCGTAGCATTTGTCGGCAGACACGGCCGTCGTCGCAGGCGCCGAATTTTTTCTGTGCGCGCGAACCAAGCCGGAATTGCTCTGGTAGGTGTTTTTTAGCATGGGCCACCCGAATATGCAACGTCATTCAGGTCGTTCGACGCTTTTCCCTGCGCCTGTAGGGATCCGAGCGCTTCCTTAGCATTTGTCGGCAGACGCGCCCGTCATCGCAGGCGCCGAACTTTTCTATGCGCGCGAACCAAGCCGGAATTGCCCTGGTAGGTGTATTTGAGCATGAAACAACATCCAGGTCGTTCGATGCCTTTCCCTATGCATATAGGGATCCGTGCGCTTCCTTAGCATTTGTCGGCAGACGCGGCCGTCATCGCAGGCGCCAAACTTTTTTGTGCGCGCGAACCAAGCCGGAATTGCTCTGGTAAATGTATTTAAGCATGGGCCATCCAAATAAGCAACAACATTCAGGTCGTTCGACGCTTTTCCCTGCGCCTGTAGGGATCCGAGCGCTTCCTTAGCATTTGTCGGCAGACGCGGCCGTCATCGCACGCGCCGAACTTTGCTATGCACGCGAACCAAGCCGGAATTGCTTTGGTAGGTGTATTTGAGCATGGGCAACTCAAATATGAAACAACATTCAGGTCGTTCGATGCCTTTCCCTATGCCTATAGGGATCCGTGCGCTTCCTTAGCATTTGTCGGCAGACGCGGCCGTCATCGCACGCACCGAACTTTTCTGTGCGCGCGAACCAAGCCGGAATTTCTCTGGTAGGTGTATTTGAGCACGGGCCATCCGAATAAGCAACATCACCCAGGTCGTTTGACTCTTTTCCCTACGCCTATAGGGATCCGTGCGCTTCCTTAGCATTCGTCGGCAGACGCGGCCGTCATCGCAGGCGCCGAACTATTCTTTGCGCGCGATCTAAGACGGAATTGTTCTGGTAGGTGTATTTGAGCATGCGCCACCCGAATATGCAACGACATTCAGGTCGTTCGATGCCTTTCTCTATGCCTATAGGGATCCGTGCGCTTCCTTAGCATTTGTCGGCAGACGCGGCCGTCATCGCACGCACCGAACTTTTATATGCGCGCGAACCAAGCTGGAATTTCTCTGGTAGGTGTATTTGAGCACGGGCCACCCAAATAAGCAACATCACTCAGGTTGTTTGACTCTTTTCCCTACGCCTATAGGGATCCGAGCACTTCCTTAGCATTCGTCGGCAGACGCGGCCGTCATCGCAGGCGCCGAACTTTTCTTTGCGCGCGATCTAAGACGGAATTGTTATGGTAGGTGTATTTGAGCATGCGCCACCCGAATATGCAACGACATTCAGGTCGTGCGACTATTTTCTCTACGCCTATAGGGATCCGAGGGCTTCCTTAGCATTTGTCGGCAGGCGCGGCCGTCATCGCAGGCGCCGAACTTTTCTATGCGCGCGAACCAAGCCGAAATTGCTCTGGTATGTGTATTTTGTCAGAATCCCAACAACTAGACCATTGGGATAAAAGGGCTTGTTAAGTAGCGGGTCAGTGCGCCCATAACCCCCCAGGCCAACATGCCTGTAACCCTTCCCTAGGAACAATCAGGGATCACCAGTGGACCTCTGACACCCCCCCGCACAGGGATGCCCGAAGTGCACACACTGGGATTCGAACCCGAGACCTTCGCTCTGATACCATGTCAGAATCCCAACCACTAGACCATTGGGATAAAAGGGCTTGTTAAGTAGCGGGTCAATGCGCCCATAACCCCTCAGGCCAACATGTCTGTAACCCTTCCCTAGGATCAATCAGGGATCACCAGTGGACCTCTGACATATTTAAGCATGTGCCATCCAAATAAGCAACAACATTCAGGTCGTTTGATGTTTTTCCCTATGCTGTGCGCTTCTTTAGCATTTGTCGGCAGACGCGGCCGTCATCGCAAGCGCCGAATTTTTCTATGCGCGCGAACCAAGCCGGAATTGCTCTGGTAGGTGTATTTGAGCATGAGCAACTCGAATATGCAACAACATTCAGGTCGTTCGATGCTTTTCCCTACGCCTATAGGGATCCGAGCGCTTCCTTAGCGTTTGTCGGTAGACGCGGCCGTCATCGCACGCGCCGAACTTTTCTGTGCGTGCGAACCAAGTCGGAATTGCTCTAGTAGGTGTATTTAAGCATGGGCCATCCGTATAAGCAACAACACTCAGGTCGTTCGACTCTTTTCCCTACGCCTATAGGGATCCGAGCGCTTCTTTAGCATTTGCCGGCAGACGCGGCCGTCATCGCAAACGCCGAACTTTTCTGTGCGCGCGAACCAACCCGAAATTGCTCTGGTAGGTGTATTTAAGCATGGGCCATCTGAATAAGCAACAACATTCAGGTCGTTCGATGCTTTTCCCTACGCCTATAGGGATCCGTGCGCTTCCTTAGCATTTGTCGACAGTCGCGGCCGTCATCGCAGGCACCGAACTTTTCTATGCGCGCTAATCAAGCCGAAATTGCTCTGGTGGGTGTATTTAAGCATGGGTCATCCAAATAAGCAACGACACTCAGGTCGCTCGACTCTTTTCCTTACGCCTATAGGGATCCGAGCTCTTCTTTAGCTTTGTCGGCAGACGCGGCCGTCATCGCAGGCGCCGAAATGTTCTATGCGCGCGAACCAAGCCGGAATTGCTCTGGTAGGTGTATTTGAGCATGTGCCACCCAAATATGCAACAACATTCAGATCGTTTGATGCTTTTCCCTACGCCTATAGGGATCCATGTGCTTCCTTAGCATTTGTCGGCAGACGCGGCCGTCATCGCAGGCGCCGAACTTTTCTGTGCGCGCGAACCAAGCCGGAATTGCTCTGGTAAGTGCATTTAAGCGGGCCACCCGAATAAGCAACAACACTCAGGTCGTTCGACTATTTTCCCTACGCCTGTAGGGATCCGAGCGCTTCTTTAGCATTTGTCGGCAGACGCGACCATCATCGCAGGCGCCGAACTTTTCCATGCGCGCGTGATGGGATGAGGGAGAATGGGGCGGGGTGATGGAATGAGGGAGAATGGGGCGGGGTGATGGAAAGCGGGAGAATGGGGCGGGGTGATGGAAAGCGGGAGAATGGGGCGGGGTGATGGAAAGCGGGAGAATGGGGCGGGGTGATGGAAGGAGGGAGAATGGGGCGGGGTGATGGAAGGAGGGAGAATGGGGAGGGGTGATGGAAGGAGGGAGAATGGGGCGGGGTGATGGAAGGAGGGAGAATGGGGCGGGGTGATGGAAGGCGGGAGAATGGGGCGGGGTGAAGGAAAGCGGGAGAATGGGGCGGGGTGAAGGAAAGCGGGAGAATGGGGCGGGGTGATGGAAGGAGGGAGAATGGGGCGGGGTGATGGAAGGAGGGAGAATCGGGAGGGGTGATGGAAAGCGGGAGAATGGGGCGGGGTGATGGAAAGCGGGAGAATGGGGCGGGGTGATGGAAGGCGGGAGAATGGGGCGGGGTGATGGAAAGCGGGAGAATGGGGCGGGGTGACGGAAAGCGGGAGAATGGGGCGGGGTGACGGAAGGAGGGAGAATGGGGCGGGGTGATGGAAGGAGGGAGAATGGGGCGGGGTGATGGAAAGCGGGAGAATGGGGCGGGGTGATGGAAAGCGGGAGAATGGGGCGGGGTGATGGAACGCGGGAGAATGGGGCGGGGTGATGGAAAGCGGGAGAATGGGGCGGGGTGATGGAAGGCGGGAGAATGGGGCGGGGTGATGGAAGGCGGGAGAATGGGGCGGGGTGACGGAAAGCGGGAGAATGGGGCGGGGTGATGGAAGGCGGGAGAATGGGGAGGGGTGATGGAAGGAGGGAGAATGGGGCGGGGTGATGGAAAGCGGGAGAATGGGGCGGGGTGATGGAAGGCGGGAGAATGGGGCGGGGTGATGGAAAGCGAGAATGGGGCGGGGTGATGGAAAGCGGGAGAATGGGGCGGGGTGATGGAAAGCGGGAGAATGGGGCGGGGTGATGGAAAGCGGGAGAACGGGGCGGGGTGATGGAAAGCGAGAGAATGGGGCGGGGTGATGGAAAGCGGGAGAATGGGGCGGGGTGATGGAAAGCGGGAGAACGGGGCGGGGTGATGGAAAGCGGGAGAACGGAGTGGGGTGATGGAAGGAGGGATAATGGGGCGGGGTGATGGAAAGCGGTAGAATGGGGCGGGGTGATGGAAAGCGGGAGAACAGGGCGGGGTGATGGAAAGCGGGAGAACGGGGTGGGGTGATGGAAAGCAGGAGAATGGGGCGGGGTGATGGAAGGCGGGAGAATGGGGCGGGGTGATGGATACCGGGAGAATGGGGCGGGGTGATGGAAAGCGGGAGAATGGGGCGGGGTGATGGAAAGCGGGAGAATGGGGCGGGGTGATGGAAAGCGGGACAATGGAGCGGGGTGATGGAAAGCGGGAGAATGGGGCGGGGTGATGGAAAGCGGGAGAATGGGGCGGGGTGATGGAAGAAGGGAGAATGGGGCGGGGTGATGGAAAGCGGGAGAATGGGGCGGGGTGATGGAAAGCGGGAGAATGGGGTGGGGTGATGGAAAGCGGGAGAATGGGGCGGGGTGATGGAAAGCCGGAGAATGGGGCGGGGTGATGGAAAGCCGGAGAATGGGGCGGGGTGATGGAAAGCGGGAGAATGGGGCGGGGTGATGGAAAGCGGGAGAATGGGGCGGGGTGATGGAAAGCGGGAGAATGGGGCGGGGTGATGCAAGGAGGAGAATGGGGCGGGCTGATGGAAGGACGGAGAATGGGGCGGGGTGATAATAAGCGGGAGAATGGGGCGGGGTGATGGAAATCGGGAGAATGGGGCGGGGTGATGGAAAGCGGGAGAATGGGGCGGGGTGATGGAAAGCGGGAGAATGGGGCAAGGTGATGGAAAGAGGGAGAAAGGGGCAGGGTGATGGAAAGCGGGAGAATGGGGCGGGGTGATGGAAAGCGGGAGAATGGGGCGGGGTGATGGAAAGCGGGAGAATGGGGCGGGGTGATGGAAAGCGGGAGAATGGGGCGGGGTGATGGAAAGCGGGAGAATGGGGCGGGGTGATGGAAAGCGGGAGAATGGGGCGGGGTGATGGAAGGAGGGAGAATGGGGCGGGGTGATGGAAGGAGGGAGAATGGGGCGGGGTGATGGAAGGAGGGAGAATGGGGCGGGGTGATGGAAGGAGGGAGAATGGGGCGGGGTGATGGAAGGCGGGAGAATGGGGCGGGGTGAAGGAAAGCGGGAGAATGGGGCGGGGTGAAGGAAAGCGGGAGAATGGGGCGGGGTGATGGAAGGAGGGAGAATGGGGCGGGGTGATGGAAGGAGGGAGAATCGGGAGGGGTGATGGAAAGCGGGAGAATGGGGCGGGGTGATGGAAAGCGGGAGAATGGGGCGGGGTGATGGAAGGCGGGAGAATGGGGCGGGGTGATGGAAAGCGGGAGAATGGGGCGGGGTGACGGAAAGCGGGAGAATGGGGCGGGGTGACGGAAGGAGGGAGAATGGGGCGGGGTGATGGAAGGAGGGAGAATGGGGCGGGGTGATGGAAAGCGGGAGAATGGGGCGGGGTGATGGAAAGCGGGAGAATGGGGCGGGGTGATGGAACGCGGGAGAATGGGGCGGGGTGATGGAAAGCGGGAGAATGGGGCGGGGTGATGGAAGGCGGGAGAATGGGGCGGGGTGATGGAAGGCGGGAGAATGGGGCGGGGTGACGGAAAGCGGGAGAATGGGGCGGGGTGATGGAAGGAGGGAGAATGGGGAGGGGTGATGGAAGGAGGGAGAATGGGGCGGGGTGATGGAAAGCGGGAGAATGGGGCGGGGTGATGGAAGGCGGGAGAATGGGGCGGGGTGATGGAAAGCGAGAATGGGGCGGGGTGATGGAAAGCGGGAGAATGGGGCGGGGTGATGGAAAGCGGGAGAATGGGGCGGGGTGATGGAAAGCGGGAGAACGGGGCCGGGTGATGGAAAGCGAGAGAATGGGGCGGGGTGATGGAAAGCGGGAGAATGGGGCGGGGTGATGGAAAGCGGGAGAACGGGGCGGGGTGATGGAAAGCGGGAGAACGGAGTGGGGTGATGGAAGGAGGGATAATGGGGCGGGGTGATGGAAAGCGGTAGAATGGGGCGGGGTGATGGAAAGCGGGAGAACAGGGCGGGGTGATGGAAAGCGGGAGAACGGGGTGGGGTGATGGAAAGCAGGAGAATGGGGCGGGGTGATGGAAGGCGGGAGAATGGGGCGGGGTGATGGATACCGGGAGAATGGGGCGGGGTGATGGAAAGCGGGAGAATGGGGCGGGGTGATGGAAAGCGGGAGAATGGGGCGGGGTGATGGAAAGCGGGACAATGGAGCGGGGTGATGGAAAGCGGGAGAATGGGGCGGGGTGATGGAAAGCGGGAGAATGGGGCGGGGTGATGGAAGAAGGGAGAATGGGGCGGGGTGATGGAAAGCGGGAGAATGGGGCGGGGTGATGGAAAGCGGGAGAATGGGGTGGGGTGATGGAAAGCGGGAGAATGGGGCGGGGTGATGGAAAGCCGGAGAATGGGGCGGGGTGATGGAAAGCCGGAGAATGGGGCGGGGTGATGGAAAGCGGGAGAATGGGGCGGGGTGATGGAAAGCGGGAGAATGGGGCGGGGTGATGGAAAGCGGGAGAATGGGGCGGGGTGATGCAAGGAGGAGAATGGGGCGGGCTGATGGAAGGACGGAGAATGGGGCGGGGTGATAATAAGCGGGAGAATGGGGCGGGGTGATGGAAATCGGGAGAATGGGGCGGGGTGATGGAAAGCGGGAGAATGGGGCGGGGTGATGGAAAGCGGGAGAATGGGGCAAGGTGATGGAAAGAGGGAGAAAGGGGCAGGGTGATGGAAAGCGGGAGAATGGGGCGGGGTGATGGAAAGCGGGAGAATGGGGCGGGGTGATGGAAAGCGGGAGAATGGGGCGGGGTGATGGAAAGCGGGAGAATGGGGCGGGGTGATGGAAAGCGGGAGAATGGGGCGGGGTGATGGAAAGCGGGAGAATGGGGCGGGGTGATGGAAGGCGGGAGAATGGGGCGGGGTGATGGAAGGAGGGAGAATGGGGCGGGGTGATGGAAGGAGGGAGAATGGGGCGGGGTGATGGAAAGCGGGAGAATGGGGCGGGGTGATGGAAAGCGGGAGAATGGCGCGGGGTGATGGAAAGCGGGAGAACGGGGCGGGGTGATGGAAAGCGGGAGAACGGGGCGGGGTGATGGAAAGTGGGAGAATGGAGCGGGGTGATGGAAGGAGGGATAATGGGGCGGGGTGATGGAAAGCGGTAGAATGGGGCGGGGTGATGGAAAGCGGGAGAACGGGGCGGGGTGATGGAAAGCGGGAGAACGGGGTGGGGTGATGGAAAGCAGGAGAATGGGGCGGGGTGATGGAAGCCGGGAGAATGGGGCGGGGTGATGGATACCGGGAGAATGGGGCGGGGTGATGGAAAGCGGGAGAATGGGGCGGGGTGATGGAAAGCGGGAGAATGGGGCGGGGTGATGGAAAGTGGGAGAATGGGGCGGGGTGATGGAAAGCGGGAGAATGGGGCGGGGTGATGGAAAGCGGGAGAATGGGGCGGGGTGATGGAAGAAGGGAGAATGGGGCGGGGTGATGGGAAGCGGGAGAATGGGGCGGGGTGATGCAAAGCGGTAGAATGGGGCGGGGTGATGGAAAGCGGGAGAATGGGGCGGGGTGATGGAAAGCCGGAGAATGGAACGGGGTGATGGAAAGCCGGAGAATGGGGCGGGGTGATGGAAAGCGGGAGAATGGGGCAGGGTGATGGAAAGCGGGAGAATGGGGCGGGGTGATGAAAAGCCGGAGAATGGGGCGGGGTGATGCAAGGAGGAGAATGGGGCGGGCTGATGGAAGGACGGAGAATGGGGCGGGGTGATGGAAATCGGGAGAATGGGGCGGGAGATGGAAAGCGGGAGAATGGGGCGGGGTGATGGAAAGCGGGAGAATGGGGTGGGGTGATGGAAAGAGGGAGAATGGGGCGGGGTGATGGAAAGCGGGAGAATGGGGCGGGGTGATGGAAAGAGGGAGAATGGGGCGGGGTGATGGAAAGCGGGAGAATGGGGCGGGGTGATGGAAAGCGGGAGAATGGGGCGGGGTGATGGAAAGCGGGAGAATGGGGCGGGGTGATGGAAGGCGGGAGAATGGGGCGGGGTGATGGAAAGCGGGAGAATGGGGCGGGGTGATGGAAAGCGGGAGAATGGGGCGGGGTGATGGAAGCCGGGAGAATGGGGCGGGGTGATGGATACCGGGAGAATGGGGCGGGGTGATGGAAAGCGGGAGAATGGGGCGGGGTGATGGAATGCGGGAGAATGGGGCGGGGTGATGGAAAGCGGGAGAATGGGGCGGGGTGATGGAAAGCGGGAGAATGGGGCGGGGTGATGGAAAGCGGGAGAATGGGGCGGGGTGATGGAAAGCAGGAGAATGGGGCGTGGGGATGGAATGCGGGAGAATGGGGCGGGGTGATGGAAGGCGGGAGAATGGGGCGGGGTGATGGAAGGAGGGAGAATGGGGTGGGGTGATGGAAAGCGGGAGAATGGGGCGGGGTGATGGAAGGAGGGAGAATGGGGCGGGGTGATGGAAAGCTGGAGAATGGGGCGGGGTGATGCAAGGAGGAGAATGGGGCGGGGTGATGGAAAGCGGGAGAATGGGGCGGGGTGATGGAAAGCGGTAGAATGGGGCGGGGTGATGGAAGGAGGGAGAATGGGGCGGGGTGATGGAAAGCGGGAGAATGGGGCGGGGTGAAGGAAAGCGGGAGAATGGGGCGGGGTGATGGAAAGCGGGAGAATGGGGCGGGGTGATGGAAAGCGGGAGAATGGGGCGGGGTGATGGAAAGCGGGAGAATGGGGCGGGGTGATGGAAAGCGGGAGAATGGGGCGGGGTGATGGAAGGCGGGAGAATGGGGCGGGGTGATGGAAAGCGAGAATGGGGCGGGGCGATGGAAAGCGGGAGAATGGGGCGGGGTGATGGAAGGCGGGAGAATGGGGCGGGGTGATGGAAGGAGGGAGAATGGGGAGGGGTGATGGAAGGAGGGAGAATGGGGCGGGGTGATGGAAAGCGGGAGAATGGGGCGGGGTGATGGAAAGCGGGAGAATGGGGCGGGGTGATGGAAAGCGGGAGAATGGGGCGGGGTGATGGAAAGCAGGAGAATGGGGCGGGGTGATGGAAAGCGGGAGAACGGGGCGGGGTGATGGAAAGCGGGAGAACGGAGTGGGGTGATGGAAGGAGGGATAATGGGGCGGGGTGATGGAAAGCGGTAGAATGGGGCGGGGTGATGGAAAGCGGGAGAACAGGGCGGGGTGATGGAAAGCGGGAGAACGGGGTGGGGTGATGGAAAGCAGGAGAATGGGGCGGGGTGATGGAAGGCGGGAGAATGGGGCGGGGTGATGGATACCGGGAGAATGGGGCGGGGTGATGGAAAGCGGGAGAATGGGGCGGGGTGATGGAAAACGGGAGAATGGGGCGGGGTGATGGAAAGCGGGACAATTGAGCGGGGTGATGGAAAGCGGGAGAATGGGGCGGGGTGATGGAAGAAGGGAGAATGGGGCGGGGTGATGGAAGAAGGGAGAATAAGGCGGGGTGATGGAAAGCGGGAGAATGGGGCGGGGTGATGGAAAGCGGGAGAATGGGGTGGGGTGATGGAAAGCGGGAGAATGGGGCGGGGTGATGGAAAGCCGGAGAATGGGGCGGGGTGATGGAAAGCCGGAGAATGGGGCGGGGTGATGGAAAGCGGGAGAATGGGGCGGGGTGATGGAAAGCGGGAGAATGGGGCGGGGTGATGGAAAGCGGGAGAATGGGGCGGGGTGATGCAAGGAGGAGAATGGGGCGGGCTGATGGAAGGACGGAGAATGGGGCGGGGTGATAATAAGCGGGAGAATGGGGCGGGGTGATGGAAATCGGGAGAATGGGGCGGGGTGATGGAAAGCGGGAGAATGGGGCGGGGTGATGGAAAGCGGGAGAATGGGGCGGGGTGATGGAAAGAGGGAGAAAGGGGCAGGGTGATGAAAAGCGGGAGAATGGGGCGGGGTGATGGAAAGCGGGAGAATGGGGCGGGGTGATGGAAAGCGGGAGAATGGGGCGGGGTGATGGAAAGCGGGAGAATGGGGCGGGGTGGTGGAAAGCGGGAGAATGGGGCGGGGTGATGGAAAGCGGGGCGGGGTGATGGAAAGCGGGAGAATGGAGCGGGGTGATGGAATAAGGGAGAATGGGGCGGGGTGATGGAAAGCGGAAGAATGAAGCGGGGTGATGGAAAGCGGGAGAATGGGGCGAGGTGATGGAAAGCCGGAGAACGGGGCGGGGTGATGGAAAGCGGGAGAATGGGGCGGGGTGATGGAAAGCGGGAGAATGGGGCGGGGTGATGGAAGGAGGTGCAGCGGGCGCTCTCCATTCGCGATCGCCGATGAACGATGATGCTCGCAACCCTCCCACGCCCTTGCTCGCTTGGTAATAGGACCAGACAAGTGCAGCCACGTGACCCGGTGGAAGAAAAACGCTCGGAACGAGCGCTTCCAGCCTCAAAATGCGGAAGGATACGCACATGTGCAGGAAGTGCAGCGGGCGCTCTCCATTCGCGATCGCCGATAACCGATGATGCTCGCAACCCTCCCACGCCCTTGATGGCTTGGTAATAGGACCAGACAAGCGCAGCCACGTGACCCGGCGGAAGAAAAACGCTCGGAACGAGCGCTTCCAGCCTCAAAATGCGGAAGGATCCGCACATGTGTAGGAAGCGCAACGGGCGCTCTCCATTCGCGATCGCCGATGACCGATGATGCTCGCAACCCTCCCACGCCCTTGATGGCTTGGTAATAGGACCAGAGAAACGCAGCCATGTGACCCGGTGGCAGAAAAACGCTCGGAACGAGCGCTTCCAGCCCCAAAATGCGGAAGGATACGCACATGTGCAGGAAGTGCAGCGGGTGCTCTCCATTCGCGATCGCCGATGACCGATGATGCTCGCAACCCTCCCACGCCCTTGCTGGCTTGTTAATAGGACCATACAAGCGCAGCCACGTGACCCGGCACAAAAAAACCTCGGAACGAGCGCTTCCAGCCTCAAAATACGGAAGGATACGCACATGTGCAGGAAGTGCAGCGGGCGCTCTCCATTCGCAATCGCCGATGACCGATGATGCTCGCAACCCTCTCACGCCCTTGGTGGCTTGGTAATAGGACCAGACAAGCGCAGCCACGTGACCCGGTGGAAGAAAAACGCTCGGAACGAGCGCTTCCAGCCTCAAAATGCGGAAGGATACGCACTTGTTTAGGAAGTGCAGCGGGCGCTCTCTATTCGCGATCGCCGATGACCGATGATGCTCACAACCCTCCCATGCCCTTGCTGGCTTGGTAATAGGACCAGACAAGTGCAGCCACGTGACCCTGCGGAAAAAAACGCTCGGAACAAGCGTTTCCAGCCCCAAAATGCGGAAGGATACGCACATGTGCAGGAAGTGCAGCGGGCACTCTCCATTCGCGATCGCCGATGATCGATGATGCTCGCAACCCTTCCACACCCTTGCTGGCTTGGTAGTAGGACCAGAGAAGCGCAGCCACGTGACCCGGTGGAAGAATAACAATCAGAACGAGCGCTTCCAGCCCCAAAATGCGGAAGCATACGCACATGTGCAGGAAGTGTAGCGGGCGCTCTCCATTCGCGACTGCCGATAACCGATGATGCTCGCAACCCTCCCACGCCCTTGCTGACTTGGTAATAGGACCAGACAAGCGCAGCCACGTCACCCGGTGGAAGAAAAACGCTCGGAACGAGCGCTTCCAGCCTCAAAATGCGGAAGGATACGCACATGTGCAGTAAGTGCAGCGGGCGCTCTCCATTCGCGATCGCCGATGACCGATGATGCTCGCAACCCTCCCATGCCCTTGCTGGCTTGGTAATAGGACCAGACAAGCGTAGCCGCGTGACCCGGCGGAAGATAAACGCTCGGAACAAGCGCTTCCAGCCACAAAATGCGGAAGGATATGCACATGTGCAGGAAGTGCAGCGGGCTCTCTCCATTCGCGCTCGCCGATGACCGATGATGCTCGCAACACTCCCACGCCCTTGCTGGCTTGGTAATAGGACCAGAGAAGCGCAGCCATGTGACCCGGTGGAAGAAAAACACTCGGAACGAGCGCTTCCAGCCCCAAAATGCGGAAGGATACGCACATGTGCAGGAAGTGCAGCGGGCGCTCTCCATTCGCGATCGCCGATGACCGATGATGCTCGCAACCCTCTCACGCCCTTGGTGGCTTGGTAATAGGACCAGACAAGCGCAGCCACGTGACCCGGTGGAAGAAAAACGCTCGGAACGAGCGCTTCCAGCCTCAAAATGCGGAAGGATACGCACTTGTTTAGGAAGTGCAGCGGGCGCTCTCCATTCGCGATCGCCGATGACCGATGATGCTCGCAACCCTCCCATGCCCTTGCTGGCTTGGTAATAGGACCAGACAAGCGTAGCCGCGTGACCCGGCGGAAGATAAACGCTCGAAACAAGCGCTTCCAGCCACAAAATGCGGAAGGATATGCACATGTGCAGGAAGTGCAGCGGGCTCTCTCTATTCGCGCTCGCCGATGACCGATGATGCTCGCAACACTCCCACGCCCTTGCTGGCTTGTTAATAGGACCAGAGAAGCGCAGCCATGTGACCCGGTGGAAGAAAAACACTCGGAACGAGCGCTTCCAGCCCCAAAATACGGAAGGATACGCACATGTGCAGGAAGTGCAGCGGGCGCTCTCCATTCGCGATCGCCGATGACCGATGATGCTCGCAACCCTCTCACGCCCTTGGTGGCTTGGTAATAGGACCAGACAAGCGCAGCCACGTGACCCGGTGGAAGAAAAACGCTCGGAACGAGCGCTTCCAGCCTCAAAATGCGGAAGGATACGCACTTGTTTAGGAAGTGCAGCGGGCGCTCTCCATTCGCGATCGCCGATGACCGATGATGCTCGCTGTGAATCAAGAAAACAGGAATGAAATGACTAAGTGAAAGTTGGGTACAAAAGGCAAACCCTAGGCAACTGTACCCCATATGTGCTACCCCACTATAGCCTACAGTAGCTATGTCATATAACTCTGACACACCCCCATAGGCAAAGTGGGGGAGAACAAGGGGTCACAAGACCAGTCAAGCAAAGCAAAGCAAGCTCAGGGTGGATCACAAAGTCACCACACATTCCGAGCACAAGTTCAAGGCCACAAGGCCAGTTCACATGCAGGATTACATATATGTATAAGGCTAGACAAGCAAGAGCAGGAGTATATATATATGCAACAGTACAACAAGGTCAAGAGGTGAGCAAGTGAGGCAAGGTAGGTACAAGACCCAGCTGAGTACAGAAGTGCTGATGATCACAAGGCGCAAGTGCCTTGGTGAAGATATCAGCAGTGTTGGCCTCAGAGGCCACGTACGCAAGTCGCAGCTGACCACGCTGCTGTAGCTCACGAGCAAGGAAGTAGCGAAGAGCAATGTGCTTCGTTCTGTGCTCCAGTCTCTGCTCTCGACACAAGGCCAGCATGGCCTTGTTGTCTACGTAGAGCACTGGAGGAGAACGAGGCGGCTCTCCGAGGTCAGTCAGCAGGTAGGTGAGCCAGCGAAGCTCCTGTGCAGCCATGGCCCCGGCGTAGATCTCAGCCTCGCAACTGGAGCCGAGAACAGAAGACGAGCGAGTAGCCCGCCACGAAACAGAGCCGGAACCAAGGCTGAAGGTGTAACCCTGTGACGACCGCTGCGTAGCCTGGTCGTCAGCCCAAGAAGCGTCTGCGTGTCCAGTGAGGACCACTGGACTCTGCCCTCCAAGCACAAGCCCCATGCCCGACGTACTGCACAAGTAGCGCAACACCCTCTTCGCTGCAGCCATGTGCTCCGGTCTATGTCTCCCAGGAGCAACATAGCGTGCAAGAATGCTAAGAGAGTATGCAAGGTCAGGTCGTGTGCAGGTCATCAGGTACATGAGGCAGCCAACAAGCTCTGGGTACGGGCCACTCGACTCTACGGACTCATCCGAAGGCAGAGCTGAGAGCGAGTGGCGAGTAGGCAGAGGAGTGGCCTGAGGCGAGGAGTACGTGAAGCCGAAGCGCTGAAGGACCTGCTGCACCATGTGTGACTGAGTCAGGGTAATGGTGCGGCGTGCTCTGTCCCGGGTGATCTGCAAGCCAAGGTAGCTGCGCAGTTCACCCAGGTCTGTGCACGTGTGTCTCTTCTGCAGCTCGGACTTCACGTGGGCGAGTCCAGCAGTGTCAGCTGTGGCAAAGACCAAGTCGTCGACGTACACGAGGATGTAGAACGGCTGCAAAGAAGTGTCGGTGCGCAGAAACAGCGACGGGTCGGCAGTAGAGGGAGCAAACCCAAGAGCCGCAAGTGTAGTCCTCAGTGTGTCGTGCCACTCACGCGGTGCCTGGCGGAGACCGTAGACTGGCCGCCGGAGGCTCCACTGGGTGCCAGGAGGAAAAGACCCAGTGAAGCCAGGTGGGCGACGCAGCCAGATCTCCTCGTGCAGGCTGCCCTGCAAGAAAGCAGTGCTGAAGTCAAGAGAGTGCAGCTCGTAGTCGCGGTGAGCAGCTATGTGCAGCAGTACCCGAAGAGTGGTCATCTTCGGGGTGGGAGAGAAGGTCTGAAAGTAGTCAACTCCCTGCCGCTGACTGAAGCCACGAGCCACGTAACGCGCCTTGAAGACAGGCGGAGAACCCGGCGGCCGCTTCACCCTGAAAATCCACATGCCACTGACGATGTTCGCCCCAGGCGGGGGAACCTCGTCAACGTAGGTGCCTGTGGACTTCCAGGAAGCCATCTCTGCGTCCATAGCTGCCTGCCACTGAGAGGAGTAGGGACCCTCTATCGCCTCCGCGTAAGAGCGCGGAGTCGGGATGTCAAGTGCATCCGGGTCTCCCTCAGGGGTAAGCAGTACGGACACGAGATGAGGTGAAGCAGCAGCCAAACACTGGAACTCCTCCTGCCTGTCCTCAAGGACGTCCGTGCCAAGGGCACACTCACCCCCGACGGACGGAGGACAGACAGACTCAGACTCAGCAACAAGACTAGCAGCGTAGTCTAGACGACAGCGAGCAGCAAAGTCGACGAGCTCAGTAACTAGGGCAGACGCAGCAGTGGACTCAAAGGAAGGGTCAGTGACAACAGTAGCAAGGAGACGCGTGACAGTAGGACTGGCAGCACGAAGAGAGTCCGACTCCGGGTCAGGAAGAGCAGGAAGAGAGGAGTCAGGAGGAGAAGGCAAAGGGGCACGCAGAGGAGCAGTGGACGGACGCAGAGACATCCGGTGCGTGCCAGGGACAGGAGGAGGACGCTGACGCGAACCACGAGCACTAGTGCGAGCAGCACGGACAGGCGACGCAGGGCGAGACGCAGGCTCACGACGCTCAGCAAGACCTCCAGTAGGACCAGTGTAGGGAGAAGGAGCGGGCAGTGGGGAGGCCGGCTGTAACTGTAACTGTGACGGGACAGGCTGTGGACACTCTAAGGGAGGAGGAGGACCAGTAGAAGGCGGGAGACCAAGAACCTGCTGAAGGAGCGGAACGAAGTACGGCCGAGGCCGCGCGGCGACTCCAGACACAGCAGGGACAGCACCAGTACCCCCAGCGGCAGCACCAGCGCCAGCAGCACCTCCAGCTCCAGTACCTCCAGCAGCACCAGTAGCACCCCAAGCAGGACCGCCTCCAGGACCGACAGCAGTAGCCTCAGCGCCAACACCCTCAGCAGCTCCAGCTCCAGTCGTACCCGCAGGCCCAGCAGCTCCAGTACTCCCAGTACGAGCACCTCCGGGACCCGCGGCACCAGCACCCTCAGCAGCCGAAGAACCTCCAGCTCCAGCAGCACGCC